TCTCCCCACTGGGAAAGAAATCTCTTCCCAATGCAAAACACAAGCAGAGGAGTTTCAGGTTCACAGCACCAAGCAGCTTTAGTACAGAACAGTTCAGCTAAGCCACGCCCAGGCTCCTTGCTCTCCTTCTTGCTCACACAGCAAATACTGTTTCAGTTTCCAAACAGCCCTCAACTCTCTTACACACGGACAGGACAATACCAGATGAATACCAATGGATGCTGGTAGGCAGAGGCAGAATTTTGACCCTTATATTCCTCCCCAAAAGCTAAGCCTGACCGCATAGTTTCATAGCGAAGCACGTGTACCCAGCTGGTACACAATATTTTTTCCCCAGAGTCTTGCAAAACTTTCCCCTAAATCCATCCTTCTCTTCCCTAAGCCCTGTTCCTTTCAAAACAGCCATCCTAGTCCAAGACAAGACAAATCATTGGCTAAACTAACGATATGCTGAGCAAACTCTGACCCGGGTTGACAATATGCACCGATCCAACATTTCTCAACTTGGGACACCGGCTGCACGCTGAACTGGCGAAATCTGGGTGTGGAAATCCACACAACTTATCATGGCCAAGAGAACCCCTGCCTTAGAATGCCACGATCCTGCAGCAAATTCTCCTCTGCTGTCTCCTCCACAACCTCAGAGTCAATGGCATTGTAGTCACGGGCGTGTAGGATTGAGGATGTGCTAGGAATCCAGCAAACCCTGGTTAAAAGTTGTCATGGCACTAAACTCAGACCACTTATTGTTGGCTGGCTTGCCAGTCCACTTTTTCAGATTCAGATTAACAGAGTTGGAAGGGGCCTTGTAGGTCATCTAGTCCAACCCCACCCGCCCCCACCCACCCAAGCAGGAGACCCTACACCAGTGGTTCCCAAACTTTTTCAGTCCACCGCCCCCTTGGTGCTACAAACTCATCCGTGGTGCCCCCACCACCCAGGGGTGGGATTCAAATTTCTGTGGGCGTGGCCTAATTTGAGGGTGTGGCTTGCTGATCATGTGGCTGGGTGGGCATGGCTTGGTCACATGATTGGCTGGGGGGGTGGCTTGCTGGCTGGGCGTGGCTTGGTGGTCACATGACCGAGTAGGTGTGGTTTGTTGGTCACATGACAGAGTGGTTGTGGCCGGGTGACTGGCAAACCAAATACAAGCGGTCCTCACTTAATGGCCGATTGCTTAGCAAGTGTTCTAATTTATGACTAGCCTCCCCAGAGCTACTTGACCTGTTTTTGGAGTTTTGACAGCTATGCATGCATGAACACACACACACACACACACACCCTTCCAACTCTGCTGGAGCAGGTCACTGGAATAGAATCGGCAAAAGCATCTGTGATTAGATTCTAGTAGCGAATAGAATCTAATCAGAGATGCTTTGCCTATTCTTGTTTATTTGTTTTATTTGTATTTCTTTATTTTATGTTGCTGATTTGCATTGATATGTGTGTCCCTTCTTGTGCACAGCCCAGAAACTTTTGTGATTCTTTGCAGCAAAAATTACCAACCTCTGGCTTTGCTCTACTTTTCAAACGCTCCGCCACTGCCGCATTCTAGATGTCGGCCCCGCAGGTCCACCCCGTTGAGCCCACTGCACTGGAGGGATCTGCCCAAGAAAGCCGGAGCGGAGCAGTGCACCAAGTCAATGGGGTGAGCCTGAGAGAGAGAAAAGAAAGAGAGAAGGAAGAAAAGGGACAGAGAGAAAAAGAAATAGAGGAGGGAGGAAAAAGATAATATCTGTTCTATTCCAATCACCTGCTCCAGCAGGGTTAGAAGGTAGAGTGTGTGTCTGTGTGTCTGTGTGTGTTCTCCTTGTAATTTACCAGTACATTTTGGTTTTCCTTCTTCAAAATTGGCACTGTAATATATTAGGGAAAAGTAATTTTTTAGGGCGGAGGTCTGGTCCAATGGATCCAGTTTAAAGCCTCAACAAAATGTGAGAGCTTCCTGATAGTCTTGACCATGTTTCATCCACAAAACCTTTAATTAGAAGCCAAAGACGTTTCAATGTGGAAAAGGGTCTCGAAACTAGGCCTCATTTCAATCTGATGCATTAGGTCTCTCTTTCTCTCTTTCCCTCTCTATCCCTTCCTTAACCTATCTACCTATTTTCGGCCCAGGCAGGCCTGGGCTAACCCTGCATCACCCCCGTTTCCTTTTAGAGGCCCTGGCCCTTAATCTCCCCGTTTCCTCACCCACGGCCGCATTTTTCGTCGCTGCCAGGAAAGGCAATCCAGGACTGAGCCACTATTCTCACTGGGCTCCCGCCAGCCCACATCACCCTTGTCATGAATGCCTACCTCGTTTTTTTCGGTGTAGCTGGACTGCATAAATTAGGCCTGACTCACTTAATCATCTTGTTTAGCAACAGAATTCTGGGAGCCATTGTGGCCGTAAATTGAGGACCGTCTGTGATATTATTTGCTGGAGCAAATAGGAAAGGGTATTTACACTGGTTCAATTGCTGAACCTCATTGATAAAAAACCACTGTGGAACGAAAACAATTGTATTTATTTCCTATATTTATAGCACACCTTAACTGTATATGACTGAAAGCTGTGTTCTCTCTCTTTTCTTCCCCACAACAACCTTGTTAGGTAGGTTGGCTTAAGAGAGAGAGAGAGTGACCCAGGCAGCTTTAATCTCCAATTGAGCAATTCACGGTTTCCCAGTTTCCAAGTCAAAATTAAGGACAAAGACCACAGAATTTCAGAGAGCTGTTAGCAGAGACTAGCAGTATTAGAACAATATCTGTAAAGACAGTGAAGAAACAAGACATGGAAAACCAAGGAAAGTTATCGAAAATTTCTCTGAACTCAGGTCACAGCCACAAATTCGGTAGTAAATTAGTAATTAGTCCATTAGTAAATGCTAATGGACAGATAGTAAACAGTTCAAAGGAGATCAAACAAAGATGGAAGGAGTATGCGAAAATATTATACTGTACTGTACAAATGTCACCATCTTTAGAAGATATTCCTTATATACCCCTTTCTTTCTACGATCGATAATTTATGAACTTTGAATGCTGCTCAGTTCTCAAAGTCACTCTACCATGCATCTTGAAATCTAGCCGGGTGTAAACTGGAGATGCTGAAGGAGGGATTAACGAATTAAAATTTGGTGTAATTTTACGATGCAAACCTAAACCATCAGGATGCTTAATAGGTTACCTAAACCCAGATAATTAAGTTAACTCAGCTAACCATGATTTAGCATGAAAGCCAGAGGTTTTCCTTTGCTTTTCAAAACCTGGGCAACTTTTTGCTGGAAATCTTGGCACAATGAGGGTGCGCGCATATGTCTTGCCTTCCTCGCACCCCACCGTTGCCCCCCCACCAGAGAACCCACTTCGCCCACCTGCGGAGGAGGTTTCACCTCCAGCCACTGCCGGAGGGCTCTGGGTGGTGCCGGGGAAGAAGTCCGGCTTTCCATCTCTCTCATTTTGTGGCTCTGGGCATCACTTGTTGAGCTTTCTGGGTGACTCGGAGGCAGCGGCAGACCGGGCCAGGAGAACCACCCCGCCACGGGTCCATCCCACCAGCCGGCGGGAGACCTTCCTCGCAGTCTGCTTGACCCAGCCCAGGTGGAGACCTGTTGCGGCTCGGTGCAGGCAGCACTTCTGGGATGGGTGAATCCCCGCCTGCGGTGCTGCACTGATCCCGTGCTTGCAAAAAACCTCCAGCTGCCCCATTGTTTTTTTTTTTGGTGCGGCTGGATCGCCGTGGCCGTCAGCGATTGTTGCCCATGCATACAATGTCACATATGCACAATAAGGACTGACTGGCCAGGGAACAGAGGAGAAGCGGAGAGGAGCAGGACCAGGCAGGGGCTCGTTTTACTGGTTCTCCAGCTACTGGGAACAGTAATGAACCGGTAGAATCGCACCCCTGAATTGCACCCTGCAAGAGGCCCACCTCTAGTGCCCCCCTGGCACCTCTTAGCGGCCTCCCTCCCTCCCTCCCCCCCTCTCTCTCTCTCTCCCTCTCTATATTTATATATATATATATATATACATAATTATATGTATGGCATTCAGCTTTGTTCGGGTATTTTCCCACATCATTGTAGTTGTGCTTTTAAAGTTGTAGCAACGTTTTGGCAGAATCTCATCTGCCATCATCAGGCTTCTGTATAGTGTTCATCTGTACTATAGTGTTCATCAACATTATACAGAAGCCTGATAATGGCAGATGAGATTCTGCCAAAACGTTGCTACAACTTTAAAAGCAC